ATCAACAATTCCTCTATTGGTTTTTCACAAGGAACATTTTGCTAATGAAATCTTTGTACCAAGCCCTTGTTATATATCTTTGACTCATTCAGCCCTGAAATTTCATAATGTACTTTCCAATCTTTGAATTGGAAGAGTTAAAATGTGTCTTCAGGGGTGAATGAGTAAACTCGCCAATAAGTGTAAACCATTATAAGAAACAATGTCTTGACATAGTTTGCTTCAATAAGATTATAGTCAGGGTCTGTATTTTTTTTTAAATATCTTAAGGATACCTGTACCACTCCCAAAAAATGTAACTAAGTGTTGGGAACTGTTTTTCTGGCATTACTATAGCTTGATTTGATCACTCACTTCAGGAAGAAAATGATATCTTGCAGGAATTTTAAGAAAAATAATAAAGATAAAATAAACAAAATATGATCAACAAGTGTTTTGAGTGGAAAAAAATCAGCGGAGCTAGACTGAGATTAGAAAACTGACTTTAAGGTAATAGGATTGTGTCGCCATTTCTCAGTAGAATTTATTCAAATTTTGTAGTTATATTGCTTTGAAGTAAAGAAAATTTTCTGCCACAAAAAAGATATAGGCTGTCAGAATTTTAAGGATTTTAAATGGAAATTTATGTAAAAAGGATTGAATTTTGAAAAAAGACTTGAAACACACATTATTTTTGCAAAATAATGTCAATAAAAATGATACTAACATAGATTAGTATTGCATTAATGTATATTAATTTCGTAAATGCTGAAATTGTGTAAAATTAATTATCTATAAACGATTTTTACTAAAAAGTCTACTTGTCCAGAATGGTTGGATATATTCTGGCCAAATTTGGTGCGACATTTACCATAGACTGTAAATGTTTGCTAAGATGATCGAGTTTCTGTCTAACCTTGCCAGACAATTGGCCTCTCTCTCTGTAACACCGAAAATCAAACCAATGAGTTTTTTGTCAGCAAAAAGACAGAGAGCACCACCAACGTTGGAGAAAATCTGGTTAATGTGAAAGGTTATTTGCACTTAGTGCAAAAGATATCCAGAGCCTTCCATCCAAAATTCACCCATCCAATGTCAAACCCTGGTTTACCCGTGAATGTGTTAAGAAAAGAAAAGAATTTCATCAATCTAAGAGAGATTACAAAAACTTTAAAAGCCAAAGAAATCGGAAAAGAATGAACAAAAAAGGTAGAGAATACAGAAAACTCATTAATAGTAGCTATAAAAAGTTCCAAGAAAATATTGAACATGAAATGAGGAAAGCTTCCAAATTTAAACCAAAAGCCTTCTGGGATATTTTGAATAGAATTGATAAGCCTAAAGGTCGTCGTAAAGTTGATCTGACAATAGACGAACTACATGACTATTTTAAAAAATTGAATCTTAATAATGAAACAGAGGAGGAATTTGAAATTCCACCTGTAAATGAATGTTTGTATGATAATATTTTGAATGATAGAATTACTGCTGATGAGATTGTTCATGCTATAAAACATTTGAATAATAACAAAGCTTGTGGTATTGATAATATAGTCAATGAATACATAAAGAGTACGGTTGACACAATGTTACCTGTATATATTGATATGTTTAATATAATATTGGACACTGGTATAATACCGGAAAGTTGGAGTACAGGAATAATCAATCCAATCTATAAGAACAAAGGTGATCGCAAAAAGTTGGATAATTACAGGGCTATTACGTTGGTCTCGTGCTTGGGAAAAGTTTTTACGTCGATTTTAAATGCAAGATTATACAAACTATCTGATGAAATTGAACTCATAAGTAACGCACAAGCAGGTTTCAGAAAAGGTCACTCAACACTAGACAACATTTTTATTTTACACGTTTTGACAACGTTATATTTATCCTCCGGTAGAAAACTATATTGTGCATTCGTTGACTTTAGAAAAGCCTTCGATTCGGTGTGGCGAATAGGCTTGTGGCAAAAACTACTCAAATGTAACATAACTGGTAAAATATTTAAAGTTTTAATTAACATGTATTCTGATACGAAATCTTGTGTGAGAAATGGGAATGAAATGTCAGAAATGTTCACTTCAAATGTCGGACTAAAACAAGGTGAAAATTGCTCGCCTTTTTTATTTGCAATATTTTTAAATGATTTAGAAGACTATTTATTGGAAAAAAATGTCGATTGTTTACTAAAGATTGATGAACTTTGTCATGATCATATTGGTATGTACGTAAAGCTTTTTGTTATTTTATATGCTGACGATACAGTGTTAATGTCAGAGACAGCAGATGGTCTACAATCAATGCTAAATAAATTTCAGGATTATTGTGAGAATTGGAAACTAACGGTAAACACACAGAAGACAAAAATTGTCATCTTTTCTAAACGAAAGAATACTAACAGATATCGATTTCTATTACAGGATAATGAGCTAGACATTCAAGATTCTTTTCCATACTTAGGTGTTCTATTTTACTATAATGGGAGGTTTGTAGTGGCAAAAAAGCAATTAGCGGAACAGGCCCAAAAAGCACTATATGCCGTATATAAGAAAATAAGAAATGTTTCGTTACCCATTGATTTACAATTCAAATTGTTTGACTCGCTAGTTGCTCCAATTTTGCTATACTCATCAGAAATATGGGGCCATGAGGATGTTAGTATACTTGAAAAAATACACCTCCAATTCTGTAAACGAATTCTTGGTCTACGCAGAAATACTTGTAATTTTATGGTATATGGAGAAACGGGCAGATACCCTATTGAGGTTGATGTCAAATTAAGAATGATTAAATTTTGGTATACACTTACCTCGAGTGAAAATAAGTTGTCTAGTCGAATGTACAAATTGATGTACTCATTACATGAAAATGGACAAATCGAGTTTAAATGGTTGAACTATGTTAAACATATCCTGGATAGCGTAGGTCTAAGCTATGTTTGGATCCATCAAAAAACCTGTCTGCCCGATATTACTTATTTAAAAGCTGCAATTATACATAAATTACACGATCAGTTTATTCAATCCTGGTTTAATAAAATTGACACCTCATCCAGAGGACGATTATACTCTACATTTAAATATCGCTTTGGTTTAGAAGACTATTTGATCAGATTAAACGCAAAAGATAGGAAAATTATCTGCAAATTTAGAACTTCAAATATTAAGCTTCCAGTAGAAACAGGAAGATGGGTGGGAATTCAAAGACAGGACAGAATATGCCCACTTTGTAATACTGGTATTGGGGACGAGTATCATTACTTATATACTTGTAATAACGACACTTTAGTCAAAATAAGGGAAAAACATATTCCGGCCTATTTTTATACAAGTCCAAACCAACATAAAATGAAAGGAATGTTCACAATCTTTAATATGAAATTGTTAAAAAGTGTAAGCTTATTTGTTCAAAAATTAACAAAAGTACTTTAGTGTCTCTATTCTTTAAGTTTTTCTTTTGTTTGCTAGTGACATTTTTATAAGTTGAACACTGAATTATTTGTATGTAACTACACGTATATATATTTTTATGTACTATGCTATGGTATAGAATGTTTGCCTGTCATGCACTCAAACTATGTTATATATACATGACCTCTTGTTACACATATTATGTGTGTCTGAGTGAAATAAAAATCTTGAAAAATCTTGAAAATTGACAGGTCCAAAATGAAACCAGTGATTGCTATTGTGTGATTTTTGTCATTAGGTGGTAGACCAGCACGCGGTACAAAGCCAGCAATACAAAAAGATCTACACATCATCAAAAGTACCACATGATGTGTTTTTTTCACTTAAGTGCAATTTTTTTGCCAGTATGGCAGATTGTTCTTTGCAGTTATGTATTTTTTTTATTAACCCCATATACAGTACTAAAATATGGTCTCACTCACTCATGACCATTCCTATGCCAATCAGAATTCACGAAATGATGATCTTTTCTAATATGAACCATTTCAATGAATTAAAATGCATTAGCCTTTGTGAGGCCATTTCAGGAAATATAACATTAATGACTTAAATGAAAATTTATTACATTACTGACTTAAATGAAAATCATGCAGTTAGGCAAAATCTTTAACGTTCAAGCAACATATTGTACACAAGTGCAAAATACACACATAACAAAAAACTAACTCACTTTTGCAAAAACTCTTTTTACACTGACATCTACCAGATAGTTTATTATGTTACAATCAAATAATGACAGATCATAGGGTTTTATACTGAAGCAACCAAAAATGATACCAGATGGGTATGAAAGGTTGTTTCAGGAAATTTTACATGGTAATCTTTAAAATATAAGTCTGTGGTCTTACAGTAAATGTATCCTGAAAGGAGACACATTGTATATGTATTGATAAGGAGCCATGATAAAGCAGTTTCTACAATCATGGACATCAAGGATATTTGTCAGGCTTTGTTGATTTTTAATGTATCAAAGATATAACTGATTAGAGGATAAGTAACATTTTCTAGTTGAATACCATATATATGATATTATATATGCCATATATTTTCTGACCGAAAACATCTTTGGATCTGGATGAATTAATTAGGAGGAACTGTTTTCATTAATCTTTACAAAAAATTATATTATCACACTGTGACAAATATCATTTTGTGAAAATATGAGTTTTAATCAAGTTGACAGTATTAATTAAATATATCATTGGCAATAATGTTTAAAATAAAGTCAAATTATTGAAGGTCATCAAAATAAATGATACCGTAGGCCTTCTAATATTAGAGAGCTCGTGCAGGACTAATTGTTCCAACGAAAAGGATACTTTGTTCTGTTCTAATTTGTACAAACAGGGACATACAAACTAATGATTATTACAAAGTGCTACAATTTTAGTTAATGTTGAACACTGTAGTAAGTTTGCAGCTAACTTCAGTTTGGGTTAGCTCCCCTGCATTGTATCGCCTCTCATTCATATCTCGCTTGAATCGCCATCAAAGCCACTGTCACGCGCTAGCTCACACTGGCATCAAAACTTAGATAGAAAATGTTACCTGCAAAGTCAGCTCCAATGACAAAATACGCAACAAGTCGTCTGTCGACAGTCAGACAATCACAATAGTAGACTTAGACGGTGGCTTCCGTACACAATCTTTTTCCATATCCGGTGTTATTGCGCATGACATATTGTGTCTTCCTAAAGGGTAATCTCAAGAACGAAAGGCCAGTGCCTTAATTATTATTTGTAAGAAAAACAACTTGATTAGTCCATGATATCGAAGACGATTTTTTTCAACTATTCCATTCAGTGTGTAATTTCACGTTGTCGATATCAATAATGATTTCTATGAATTGAGCATGAATAAGTTGTATAGAGAACTGAGGAAAAGTACTTTTGAGTTCGCCAAATAATGTTGTGTATTAACCGCAGAGGTTACTTCCTGCACAGCGCCACCTATCTAAGAAATATAAAGCCGCACGTCAAACAAGAGGAAAGTGCCTGTCTTGGAATACACTGACGTTCGGAGGCTGTTCTGAAAGAGTTTTTGCGAGTTCATCCTCAAAATGGAATATGGTTAAATTCTTTTGTGCTATAACTGGAATTATGAAGTTATGGATAGTCAGAATTCGAAAACGTTACGTATTTTGAAAAGGATGTTATAATATTTTGTGTCGTTTTATTAGATACAGCCGTGAAGATGCACGGCTATCGATACATTATTCATCTATCAATATTTGGACTGATCTTCATAGAAATTACTCGTGGGGAGCATTACACGGATAAATGGGCGGTGCACATCGAAGGGGGCGTTAGAGAGGCACGATCTCTGGCCGACAAACACAACTTCGTTTACTTGGGACAGGTAAGACGCAATGAGATTCAGAAACAAAACAAGATGCCTCTTTGGTGTCAGCCGTGGTTGGTGGTATGCTCCATTGTCCTAACGCTGGACCTACGCTGAGTGGCCACAGTGTCGATATCTAAAGACGAAGGGTCAGATCTAATATTGAATATAATTTGGTACGAGATTTCATTCTAAAATGTGTCCACCAATATTGATATTCAACATTAAAAATAGTCAAAATGCATAACGATGGTTGGTAACACAATGCCTTATATCATGCAAGTATTTGGTTAAACCTTGTCTTGAAATCTTTCCACTTTCAGTTAGATGAATGTATATATTTCAACAAATCTCATTATTTTTTAAGAAATTTATCATGTTATCTTTATTGTTTGGTTTAAGAACTTATCATCTTTTTGCTGTTCATACAATCATCAGTAGCGAAGACTTAGCTTATCTAATTCTGTGATTCTTGTCATATTAAAATTCAATTTAATTTCAAGAGAGTTATCTATAAATAGAGTATAGTTGATCGGACCATCATATTAAATAATTTCTTATCAATATAATAAGTCTACTCGGGCCAAATTAAAAAAAAAAAATGTTGAATATAGCTTGAAAATGATTGCAGGATCATAATAAAAAAATATTGAGACTGTTTAAAAGTGTTTAAACACAAAGAAATACTAAAGAAACCAATGTTATCGACTGAAAATGGAGAACTGGTTTAAGTGACTGGTGTGAAGGTGTTAAGATATAATTTATGGATACTTGGCATGAAATTGTCCCATTTAGACCACACCGTAAGTTGTAAAACTTGAGATATTGGTGATAACAGGATCAGCAATTATACAAGAGGTGATGTTAATAATTATCAGCTATGAGTTTCAAGTTTCTGTTTCAATAACAGTCCTCTTTTTGTGGATTTTTCTTATGACAAAAATGTTTAAGTACCCTGGATGAAACGTTGAGATATAGTTTAGGTGGTTGATAGTATTAATTTGACTGGTGTGAGTTTCGCAATTATATTTAAAAACGGCTTGAAATAACAGTAAAGTATTATTTGTGAGGTTAAATTGTTGCTGTATATTGAACTTGTAGAGTGCTTCATTGTGTTTAAAAGAATTTAACCTCTAGTATGATAGATTAAAAAATTCCGCTTTTTTTTTCACTTCATATTTTTTCGTAGCTGTTACCAGATATCTTTGGGAAAAATTAAAAGTACGGTATTACCTGGTATATCAAATAAGAAAATTGGTTTTTGGAAAATTCTGTTGCTGGACATATGGCAGATCCTTGTACTTGAAACCACTGAAAAAAAATCATTAAACATAATGCTGCAAGTAAAAGACTAAAACGAAGGTGATGTATGGATTTTTTCAAAGTAATTTGTGAATTATTGCTGACAACAGGATATTACCAATTCTTTCCTTATAGCCATTTTTTTCTTTGAAACAGTTTGTAACTGGAAGGTGTTCAATAAAATTTTCTTTTTAAGATAAGTAATTAAATCTGAATTAAACAACCATAAGAAACAATAAAAAAATTAAAAAAACAACAATAGATAAATGTGAACTGTTAAGTCACGTTTATTTTGATATCCATTAAATATTTATAATTTATTAGTACTATAAACAGCTTACATTGTTATTGTATGATAGGTGATTCAGGATGCATTGATATAGGAAGTCTTTATTATATAATAATGCCACTCCTTTAGTTTTGAGAGGTAGAACCACTCTGAGTCAGGCTATCATATTGTATTTATTTTATAACAATTGGGATTTTTGAAAACAGGTGTGGCAACCTGAAAGAAAAATGTTCATTGAATATATATATATATATATATATGTTACTTCTAAGAAAATCTTGAATAATGTCCTGGTAAACGCACCTTAAGATGAAACAAGTTAAAAATAAATCTTGAAATACCCACTGAATTTTTGAAACAACTGACAATTAAGTAAATGGATTTATCTCCTGCTTTTTGAAAATATGTTTGATTGTCAATTAAACAGATGTCCGTGTATGATAACGATTATTTATGTATCCACAGCACAGGTATACAGGTAGTATTGTCCTATACAGTATGTACTTTTGCAGTTGCATTATATACCTCGGTCATGCACCTGTAAGGTTTGCTAAATATTTTCTGTGTATTTATTCAAAATATACTTCCGTTTTGACTGTTGATTACCAGTATCTGTTGCACCTGTGTACTATTTAAAACCTATTGTTACCGTACCATGACACCTGTTGGTCTTAACTAATTTACCTGGATGCTGGATCTGTAACATAATCACAGACACTGAGAAAGAGTCAATATGTTAACCATGCCATTTGGTCATTAGTCAAGATGATACTTCTAATTTTGATTTTCTTCTAAAGACAGGTGATTGATCAGTCTGATCTGATGGCTTGCTAATGAATTAACCTGATGTGCAGACATAACATCTATAAGATATCCATACCAGTGTCAGGTTGTAGGTAGTACACACTGTTCTACCTGAGACTAGCTTGTAATACATTAGGCTCACATCTACCTGGACAGTATACATAGTCAGGAGTATGGAGTACACATGTAGTTACTTGAACAGTTGTACACAAGGTTGGTTCTACCTGGACAGTACATAGCCACAAGTCTCAGTAAACCAGCTTCTACCTGGACAGTAGCCACAAGTCTTAGTAAACCAGCTTCTACCTGGAGTCTTAGTAAACCAGCTTCTACCTGGAAAGTAGCCACAAGTCTTAGTAAACCAGCTTCTACCTGGACAGTAGCCACAAGTCTTAGTAAACCAGCTTCTACCTGGAAAGTAGCAATAAGTCTTAGTAAACCAGCTTCTACCTGGACAATAGCCACAAGTCTTAGTAAACCAGCTTCTACCTGGAGTCTTAGTAAACCAGCTTCTACCTGGAAAGTAGCAACAAGTCTTAGTAAACCAGCTTCTACCTGGACAATGGCCACAAGTCTTAGTAAACCAGCTTCTACCTGGACAGAAGTAACAAGTCTTTTAGTATACAAGGTTCTATCAAGACATTGATTGATTGATTGATAGGTTTTATGTCCGCTTCACTATATCAAGACTGTAAGTCATAAGTCTTAAATAGTATACAATGATCTACCTATAGACAGTAATCACAAGTCTTTTAGTACTCAGCTTTTACCTGGACAGCGGTAACAAGCCTTTTAGTACACAAAGTTTTACCTGGACAGTAGTAAACAAGTCTGATTACACAAGGTTCTACCTATAGACAGTAATCACAAGTATTTTAGTATACAAAGTTCTATCAAGACAGTAGTCATACATCTTTATTACTTTAATGCCTTACACAAGGTTTTACCTGGACAGAAGTAACACATCTCTAGTACACAATTTTTCAACCTGGACAGAAGTTGCACACCTTGTAATACACAAGATTCTACCTGGACATTCATACTCTATCCTTGAAAGAGAAATTTTCTAAGATAAAAAATACCATACTTAAAAATTCAATGTTTGGGGAATTGACATGGATCTGAAATACAACAGTGTGTAAGCTAAGATTCCTGGCTAAATCACTTGCATATTAGAAGATGGTTGATTCAGAAGGCGCTGGACTTGATCTGAATTAGAGGTAGGCTTGGAATGATAGAAATGTATTTCTGCAGTTTATAGTGTAATGATTAAAACATTTGATTGTTTGCTAGCACATTACAGTACATAGTTATAGGAATGGAAAGGGTACTGGTGTCTGGTTATCTCCCCATGTCTTACAGTAGAGTACACCCCTTAGGGAGTCAAAAAGAAGAGCTACCACAGCTCCTAGGGTCTCGGTGGCTACTAAATCATTATCTGCAAAGGATGTACCACTTTTCAAATTATTCTATATTTATTTTTTCAAAGAAGCACTTTTCCACTAGACAGCTCTGCTCTGTAGTCGCCATGCCATTCCAAACTTCCAGTCACCATAGTAACATGATATAGATACAAGTTGTTCACTTGCCTTATCAGTAAAGTCTATATTTTTGGAAGCATCTTCTCTGTAGAAGCAGCTCTAGATCTCAACAGCCCTACTGACTGCTTCCTTGCAATTTTAATGGTCTTTTTCAAATCTACTAAATTAAGTGAAAATGAGATAAAAAAAAATCTAAACTTGCGGAATTGTGTGTATCGATCGGTTGTGTTGGTGTTTCTGTGTGGTAAACAAGTTGTTGTAAGGCACATCAGTAAATGTGTATATCAGTAGAAGTTATATATATGGTGTGTTTTTAGAAAAGCTCTTCATTGATCTTCGAGAGATGTATAGTTATAATGCTGCGTAAGTAACAAACTCGTTCTAATAGGCATGTGTTTTAAATATACATGCAGCTCTATATAGCGAGGAAGTTGTAAAATTAAGAAAAAGGTTGAAAGGATTATTGGATTAAACTGTATATTTACCAGTAACTCAAGCAGGATTTAGATGATTCCGACCGCAGAGATTGTAGAATACACTTATTTGTAAGGAAAATTTTGCATTTGTATACCTCTGACCTGATTCTGTATAAAACTTGTGACAGCTCGAGAACAGCTAGCTGAAACAAATTATGTCTTTGTAAAACGACCTGTGAAAAGCCGATCTGGATTTTATTACCTACTTTGGTAATGGACAGAAAAAATATAAAGCTTCCATTCAGAAGTTTGCATGTGTTTTTTTCTTTTTAGGCATTAAAAGAAACCTATTGACCGATTTCTGGGTTTTTTTCTCCCTTTTTACCACTACTGGATATCTTGTTTTTGTTGTATTTGGGCAATAACTGTCGGTCTATATATCTTTCTAGGTCAGGTAATGGGTATACAAATATCCCAGATAACCCTTCACACTTCTTCCTCCTTTTTTTTTTTATCAAAACCTGACTTGACTTCATGGGTTTTCTTTACTTTTCTTCATATGTAAACACTGCACCCATTTGAATTTATTGAACCTTTAAATCTGTGAACAACATCTGTTCTGCATCACATCACCAACATGTGTGCGTTGGACAGATTTAAACAGTA